CTCACACTCACACACACACATACACTCACACACACACACACACACACCCACACACACACACACACACACAAAATACAGGTAAAACACATGTAAAAAATAAATTCCTTCATATTAATACTGTACATTGTGCTCTTTTTTACAGTGTGGTTTTGTATTGGTTTCAGCATCTAGATCAACACTTTTTTGATCATTGTCATCCCCCAAACTGAAATTCCATTATATATCATATCATATATGATGAAATTCAACTTTGGAGGATAAAAATGAGCAATCATGTCTTTAAGACAGTATGCATATATGATATGTTTTACTACAGTTCAAAAGATGTCAAAACAGTAATATTGTGAAATATTATTACAATTTCAAATAGCAGTTTTCTATGTGAATATACAGTATGTTAAACTATAATGTATTTCTGTGATGCGCAGCTGTATTTTCAGCATCATTCCTCCAGTCTTCAGTGTCACATGATCTTCAGAAATCAGTATAATATGCTCGAGACACATTTCTGATTATTATCAACATTGAGAACAGTTGTGCTGCTTCATATTTTTGTGGAAATACATGTGTTGGCGGTCACTTCTGCGTCCTTGCTAAATACAAGTATTAATTTCTTGCAGTAATAATAATGAGAATCCGAATACAAACAGGCGTGTACCTGCGGCTGTCGCGCGAGGCAGTTGTGCGCCAGGAACGGCAGCTCGTTGTGTCTCTGGATGATGAAGCAGCTCTCCTCCTCATCGTCACACTCCTGCAGCTCAGAGCCCGACGCGTGAAGAGCCTCCTCGAAGCCCGAGTCACTCAATGCGCTCATCGCGTCCTCAGGAGCGGCTCTAGCGCCGGGACGGGTTTCCGCTCATCCTCATCATCCTCATCATCCTCATCAGCCTGCTGCACGCGCAGTGTTTCAGTCGAATGCGCTGTTGGCAGGAGACACGGTGCTTGTAAACGGGGTCTTTCCCGGGTGTTTTAGCGCGCACCGTAGGGCGCTATAGAGCCCGCCGCGTACCTGCGTTACCATGACAACAGTCCCAAGGGCTGCAGGTGCCTCAGAGACAGAACTGACCGCGCACACCTGATTTATGTCGCCCATAATATATATATATATGTGTGTGTGTGTGTGTGTGTGTGTGTGAGTGAGTCTGTGTGTGTGTGAGTGAGTCTGTGTGAGTGAGTTTGTGTGAGTGTGTAAGTGAGTCTGTGTGAGTGTGTGTGTGAGTGAGTCTGTGTTAGTGTGTCTGTGTGAGAGTGAGTGAGTGTGTGTGTGTGCGAGTATGTGTGTGAGTGAGTGTGTGAGTCTGTGTGTGTGTGTGAGTGAGGTGTGTGAGTGTGAGTCTGTGTGTGTGTGAGTGAGTCTGTGTGTGTGAGTCTGTGTGTGTGTGTGTGTGAGTCTGTGTGCGAGTGTGTGTCTGTGTGTGAGTGAGTCTGTGTGTGAGTGAGTGTGTGTGTGTGTGAGTCTGTGTGTGTCTGAGTGTGTGTCAAGTCAAGTCACCTTTATTTATATAGCGCTTTTAACAATACAGATTGTGACAAAGCAACTGAAGTGTGTGTGTGTGTGAGTGAGTGTGTGTGTGAGTGAGTGTGTGTGTGTGAGTGAGTGTGTGTGTGTGTGTGAGTGTGTGTCTGTGTGCGAGTGTGTGTCTGTGTGTGAGTGAGTCTGTGTGTGAGTGTGAGTATGTCTGTGTGAGTGTGAGTATGTCTGTGTGTGCATGAGTCTGTGTCTGTGTGTGTGTGAGTGTGTGTCTGTGTGTGAGTGTGTGTCTGTGTGCGAGTGTGTGTCTGTGCGAGTGTGTGTGTGTGTGAGTGAGTGTGTGTGTGTGTGTGAGTGAGTGTGTGTGCGTGTGAGCAGATGTGATCTAACAGATGACTGTTTTTCTCTCATCTATATGAAGATTAAAATCTGTTGACCTCTTTTCCTCTAATCCCTTTCTTTCATTGTGTCCTTCACTAACAGACTGCTGTGTAATTAACCGAGCATTTCATTAAAGTGTGTATGTGTGTGTATGTGTGTGTGTGTGTGTGTGTGTGTGAGTCTGTGTATGTGTGTGTGTGTGTGTGTGTGTGTGTGTGTGTGTGTGTGTGTGTGTGTCTGTGTGTGAGTGAGTCTGTGTGTGTGTGTGTGAGTCTGTGTGCGAGTGTGTGTCTGTGTGTGAGTGTGTGTGAGTCTGTGTGTGTCTGAGTGTGTGTCAAGTCAAGTCACCTTTATTTATATAGCGCTTTTAACAATACAGATTGTCTGTCTGAGTGTCTGTGTGCGAGTGAGTCTGTGTGTGAGTGTGAGTCTGTGTGTGTCTGAGTGTGTGTCAAGTCAAGTCACCTTTATTTATATAGCGCTTTTAACAATACAGATTGTCTGTCTGAGTGTCTGTGTGCGAGTGAGTCTGTGTGTGAGTGTGAGTCTGTGTGTGTCTGAGTGTGTGTCAAGTCAAGTCACCTTTATTTATATAGCGCTTTTAACAATACAGATTGTCTGTCTGAGTGTCTGTGTGCGAGTGAGTCTGTGTGTGAGTGTGAGTCTGTGTGTGTCTGAGTGTGTGTCAAGTCAAGTCACCTTTATTTATATAGCGCTTTTAACAATACAGATTGTCTGTCTGAGTGTCTGTGTGCGAGTGAGTCTGTGTGTGAGTGTGAGTCTGTGTGTGTCTGAGTGTGTGTCAAGTCAAGTCACCTTTATTTATATAGCGCTTTTAACAATACAGATTGTCTGTCTGAGTGTCTGTGTGCGAGTGAGTCTGTGTGTGAGTGTGTGTGAGTCTGTGTGCGAGTGTGTGTCTGTGTACGAGTGTGAGTCTGTATGTAATTTAAAACAATCTATTTAAACGCGCTTCAGTAATATTTAAAGGGCTAAAGAATAAGCCATAAAAACATTTGTATTCACAAACAATAGCATTTAAGACAGTATTGTGTTTCAAACAGATCAAATCTGTTTATGCTAAAAAAAATAATGCAAGTGACTGGGGTTGAAAAAGGCATTTTTGTGTATTGGTATACTTTTTCATTTTCACTCAGAAACTGCTAGTAAATTTCACAAATAATTACAACACATTGAATTGTGTGAAATTTTGAAGTAGAAAGACTGAAATAGTATTTCCTTGTAAAATGTAATCCAATCTTTATTTTATTTTATTTTTTAAGTCTGCCCTATATGAAAATATGTTAGGATTAAATCTAAATTAAATTTATCGTTATTAAAAAAAACTATTGTGGTTCATATTTATTTTCACATTAGTTGTTTTTATTGTCTCAATCACTAATTCAGATAACAAGAGCATGGTTTTACTACAAATAAAACCACAAAAAAATCATGGTTGTAGTTAAATCAAGGTGATTTACCATAGTTTAACCATGGCATGTGTAGTAAAACTGTGGTCATACAGATGTTAGTCAGTCTAAAAAATGCTTACTACACTTTTGTTATAATAAAACCATGGCTAATATTTGTAAGGGAGGGCACAGATCCAAGGATAACAGATTTGTTTGTCTTCCAAAGTCTTATTAATGCATATTTATTCAAGGAGTCCCATTCTGATGGTCAGTTTGAAGTGCCCCAACAATCAAGTTCACTTATTTACAAAAGCAAAGCATCGGTTGAAGGGTGGAATCAAACTTGAGAGTTTTTGAACATATGAGTTGAAATCATTTGAATGAATCGCTCTTTATTTATTTATGGATGCTGGACCACAGTTATTCAGATCTGTGACAATGAAAAACAAATAAAAACACAAGACTCTTCTGAAGACACGAGGCAAGCAAAAGCTAAATCCAGGCATGACGGATGAACACCTGTGTGATACTGGAAGACAGAAAGAGAAAAGAGACCAAGAACTACTGCAGCTGTGAAGAAACCAAGAGCAAAGCCGAGTCTTTCCCGTCTGCACCGTATTCAGGCAGAATAGTCCAGCAACAAGAACTAAATCTTATCAGCTCCCTTCACATATTAATATATATCTGTAGGAGTCAGTAGAGAGGCAGAGTTCTTGTATATTGTGGCAGCTGGCCTTGTAAATTATCATCAAAGCTGCAGTTAAGATATAAAGAAAACAGATGGTGCAGACTGATCTATGAGCCTTATTAGAAATACAAACATCATTGTTTTATGTGTCTGGTTAGACACGGTTATATTAAAACACTACGACTAGGTTTTTTTTTCTCACTACAAATTCATTTGTGATCAATGATTTGGCAATCAATACATTCTGTATATAATAATTTCTGTGACATAAAAATTAATAGTTTAATATGTACAAGTTAGAATAAGCATGTTGTTTGAATTTTTACACACACATATACATACATATATATATATATATATATATATATACACACACTGTGTTACACTGAATAACAATGTAACATTATTTCAACCAAATTCTGGCATATTCTCCAAAAACTTATTTAAAAACCTTAAAACTAGACACCTTACTTACATTTAATGTGCTTTCTATGGACATAAAATCACTTTTGTAAATGTATTTTTATGCGGACATCTTAAAAGGAACACTCCCCTATTTTTGAAAACAGGCTCATTTTCCGACTCCCCTAGAGTTAAACAGTTGAGTTTTACCGTTTTCTAATCCATTCAGCCGATCTCCGGGTCTGGCGGTAGCACGTTTAGCTGTAGCTTAGCATAGATCATTGAATCTGATTAGACCGTTAGCATCTCGCTCAAAAATGACCAAAGAGTTTCTATATTTTTTCCTATTTAAACCTTGACTCTTCTGTAGTTACATCGTGTACTAAGACCGACGGAAAATGAAAAGTTGGGATTTTCGAGGCCGATATGGCTAGGAGCTATACTCTCATTCCGGCGTAATAATCAAGGAACTTTGCTGAGCCTATTTTCAAAAATAGTGGAGTGTTCCTTTAATGTCTTTGACCCACATATTTAGTATCTAAAAGGTACCGCTCCAGTGACCGATTTTGTACCTTTTTTTCTGAGAGTGAATGGTCACTTGAGAAAGAAACGTTGGTTCCATATCAAAGTCCTATATATATATATATATAGCAAACTTAAATAAGACGTCTGAGCTTCCTTTGACAATAGCGCACTAGCATACCAACATGCATGGGATAGTCAGTAAACCTCCAGGCTGATAACCGGAAAGTCACTGGTTTAAGGCCTTTAAAGCAGCACTATGTAACTTTAGCCACTCTAGCGGTTAATAAACAGAACTGCACACATCCCGCAGAAGAACATTTTAACCGGAGCTACTTCTCTAAGTTTATGTCTCTGGCGATTCACGCAGGAATGTGTTACTCCGCAGCGGCAACCAGGCTACAATAGTCCAAATATAAGTGCTTAGTATAAGTGTACCGTAGTGATTCGGAATAAGACAAAGACACGGTTTGGAAGAAGAATTCATGATGTACTCGCTCATTATATACATTTTGCCAAGTTTGAACATAGAAAAAGTTACATAGTGCTGCTTTAAGCACTGGTCAATTTTTAGATTTTGGGCTATTTTACATCCATAACACGTCTTCTTTTAGACTAGTGGGAAAAACATCCAAAATACACATTTATGTGTTTGTTTTATCAATTTATTTATTTTAATTACACAATAAATGTGTTTATAATCTGTTGACAGTATTTTCTGATTTATAGAAAATCCAAAACCACCTCTGTAAAAACCTTTAGTTCGAATGAGTCACCAAAATCAGACAAGAACTTTGGACCTGGCTTTATCTGACGTTCAGATTTCTGCTCCAGAAATGATGCAAATTAGTGTGCATTTAATTAGATAATGCATCATTTGCATATTTAAACAGCACATGTCAGACAACAGCAACCGCTCTTTAGTGTAGATTAGGGGTTGAACGACTTCTGATTTTTTTTAAGTCGACTTTAATGTGATGAATGTCGAGTCGAAGTCGACTAGTCGCTGATGTCGTCATTAATGAACAAATAAGTCTGGAGCTGAGACTCGAACACCTTGTGCACAGCTATGGCATATGACACAGTGCTGCCAACACGGCTGTTGCTCCTAGAACAGCTTTTTTATCAGTTATTTTGTCTTTGGGTCGTTATATTTCTCACAGATTTCTGCTTGTTCTAAATCAGATACAGATAAAGTAGCACAGTAACGATTACCTTAATATGAATGCGTTAGTGAGAGCGATTGCGTGTGTGAATTAACTCTACCTGGCAGCGTCTCTCTACTAGTAGTGAAGCTGTGGGATTTAGTTATTAAGAAATATATGCTTGAACTTTTCAGTTTCTAAGCTATTTTATTGAGAAATCACAGAACAGTGTTGAGAATACATTTCCGCGCGGAATGATTCTGTGCGCGTGATGTACGAGCTACTGTCTGTAGCCTGTGTTTGTGTGTTGCAGTGCAGCAGCGCATTATTAGATTAGAACGGCGATTAACTTACCTGTACAATAAGCTGTTTAATATGTGCATTCTCCTGTTAAATTTCGAGCATCCAGTAATAGAATCACACGTCTTGTGGAGCGCTTTCAGAGTATGCATTTATTTGTCATTTTAACTGTTTGGAAACTGAGCGTAAATGTGCAAGTCCTTCAAAGATTTCTTATCCTGTTGCGCCCTCTTTAGGACCAGCGACTCGTCGACGTCAAGCTTAAAGCGTCATGGCAGAGCATTGAAGTCGACTAGTCGGTGCAACCCCTAGTGTAGATGCATGTTGATTTGATCAGACGATGCCGCAATTATAAATGAGAGAGACTCCTGGTTAACATGTATTAAAAGGGGTCGTGTTTAGTCACTATTTAGTGTGGTATTTTTTGACAATATTCACTCATCATGACAGTAAAATAGTGCATTCTAAGTCAATATACTGCAGTATTTCTCTCTCAATCAGTAGAAGATATGGTTAACACCCGCTCATGCATGAAAAAAAAAAAAACATACCGTCATGTACCGTGAAACCGGTATAATTTTGAAAAATACCGTGATATACATTTTTGCTCATACCGCCCAGCACTATCATCTACTAGTTAACATTTTTACCCAATTCACCTGTGGTTTGTTGCTTTACTAGTGGGTTCTCCATGAAATCTCTACCGCAAGTCATTTTTAGATAAGAGCATTAAATTATAAATCATATTACTATAATTAAAAATCTTATGCACTTATGTGATTTCTTTTGATAAAATACTTGAAATATAATCATATATGGGTAACAGAGAAATTATAGCTACAATCAGCTTCGTAATTAACTTCCGACTGCGATCCAGAGTAGATTCTGGTCAAACGATGAGGCAGAAATATATTGTTAGTAACATTTTAGAAGACTTTTATGGTGAAGATTAGGGGTGCGCGATATATATCGTCTGCGATAATATCGTAATTGTTGTTTTAACGATGTGCGATTTGACATTATCGAGGATTTTGCAAAAACCTTTCAAAACACCTCTACAGAGCGCACACACACATTACGTGAAGCGTAGACTAGTGCGCGTGCGCATTTAGTGTGTGTTCTTTCACTGCGTGATTCAGGCTATTAAAATGCATTTAGAATGATCACAAATTCAAGACATGACGGCAGAAAATTTATATATTTATACCACTTCATATAGTTATTATTATATAGAGTGCCGTTTTTCTCCAAAAGTGACCATGATTACAAATGTGACATTGAATTCAATAAACAATAAGTTAATTAAGAGACTTACGTTTTAGACACCATATTGCTTGTTTTTGCTCTATTTGGCCAACAAAAATCACCCCGAATACAGCCACAGCGCTGTTTTGTGTCTCTGAGCAACACGACGGTGTTTCGATCCTGAATGAATCACTCGTTTAAATGATTCGGTTCAATCGCAATGACTCACTTATTAACAGTGACTTGCTCCCACCTGCTACTTTTTTTTTCATGTTTTAAATCACTTAAAATATCAGTATTCAACGTTTTATGCTTAATATATCAAAACATTATTTATGCATTTGTAACTGCAGGTTAAATGCATTCATGTCTTGCATTAAACAAAATACATGTGTGTAAATACATCTAAATGCCACTTCAGATGCAGCTTCTGTGTTGATTTAATTTGCTTGGTAACAGCCCAAATGTCTTATTATTCTAATTAACTGATTAAATGTAAGAATTTGACTCAAAAGATAAT